TTGAAGATGCCTTCGACATTCTGTTTGATCGTTACATTTATCGGTCTATAATTATTTGGTATTTGCTTTACTGCCACTTCTACGGAGTGGAACTTTATCCTTTATTTTTATCGACTTTGAGATGACACCCGTGTCTAGGTTCCCTTTCCATAGCATAATTAAGGCACGCAAAAGGAGTTTCTTGCAGTTCTTGATAAACACGGAGTTCCACGAGTCTGGGCCTGGGTCAGAGTCAATAGGCATATTGTCAATTTTTTTTCATAGTCCAGTTGAATTATGGTTATGAGACTCATTCATGAAAAATTCATTTCGATTGTCGTTATTTAGTCTAATTAATAGATCACTGAACACAGTCATACTGAGACTTCAGTATATCATTTCTTTGTTGTCGTCCGTGTAAGTCCCATCTTGTCTTATCAAGGACCCCTTACTGGATGTGGTTTTTGCCTTCTTTTTAGCATACGAAGAGAAATATTTTGAATTTCTCTCAATCTTGATAATTGCCTTTAGCTCCTGTCTCTCCTGGTCCTTTATGAATCATTTAACTTACGTTTATTATTTTTCTACCTCCCTACTTCCCTAGTTAGTGCTTCCTTCCTCATTTCAGATAGTCTAGCCCCCTTGAGAAGCTTAGTGATTCTTCACCTTTGCCTGTAGAGGAAGTGTCCCTCTCCAGTTTACATCTTGAGCATATTCAGCTGTCAAACAGTTAATCTTTTTAGGACACTGGCTTTGATCCATGTTATTTAAGATATCTTCCGAGCATATTTCATTAACATGATTTATTTCATCTCAGCTGATGCTCCTGTTGTTAAAGTTCAATTTGGTGGAAATGGTTTTGGAAAAAATCAACTCATGTTGTCTGAATCTGTCAGAAAGGTAGCAACCTGTTTCACCAATATATTGGATAGGACAAGCTGAGCAGAAAATAAACTAAGGAGCTTTGGATAATGTTATTCAGTAATGGCCTAGCCGGTAATCTCAGAAGATCGGTCCCCAGCACTCCCTGATAGTCGCTCCTGAGGCGCAGCCTCAGCTCCCCACTCCTAAACTATGTAATTAAAAATTACAGGAACAAAGCGATTAAGAAACACATGGGATGGTATAAATAACTTTATAATGAACAGAATTCTGTAAGATTATCTCCCACCCTTCATGCTCATGAAACAGAAAGAAAGACGTGAAGACGTGTCTTGCGTGCTCAGTGAAGACGTGTCTTGCATGCTCTCTGTGAAACTGAACAAGATGTCCACTCCTGAGCAACTCTACCAGCAACTAAAGGAAGAACTGAGGGTGGCTAAGCTTGAGATACAGCGACTGACTGAGGAAAACAAGAAGATTCGTAGTAATCCTCCTGTTGAGAATCTTCAAGCCAAGAAAGGAACCTGGACAGTGGCTGGAAAGCATGGGACAAAGTTAAGGATCAAGAGGACGGATGGAGAGGTAAAATCAACGAAGATCCAGGAAATTGTTGTGGAAACATCGAACCCATTCTCCGTGCTACCCAATGAATGTGGGTTGATTACTGGGAACGTCATGACGAGCGACACCAAGGTAAAAACATTGTTGTTGTTGGGGATAGCCAGGTTAGGTACATGGATTAGGTACATGGATAAGTACATGGAGAGGGCCTTCTGCTTGAAGGATAGGTGTAGGAGACAGAGGGTTTCCTTTCCTGGGGCTGGGATGTAGGATACTGTTAGCCGGCTTGACATCATGAATGGTAATGGGATCAATCCCATTATCTGCCTCAGTACTGGAGGCAATGATGTAGGCAAGCTTAGAAGTGAGGATTTATTTAGAAGGTTCAGGACAGCAATAGACATAATTAGGAACAAGGAGGGGGGCGCCCTGTTATATGGCATTTGCCAAGAAGGGGTGTTGGAAATGAATGGTTGTCCAGAGCAATTGGTATTAATTGTTAGCTGGACAAACACTGTAAGGATAATGCAGTACCATTCAAGGACAACCAGGACCACTTCTATGGCCGAAATGACTTGTATGCCAGGGATGGGGTTCACTTATCCAGAGCAGGTGTGGGTTTTCTTGCTAGCTCAGTTGAGGGTGTTGTTTGGACTTTAGACTAGGACTACTTAGAGGTATGGGTTTAGAAATGGATAATAATGAGCATCAAAATATGGATTTAGGCTTTGAAATCATAAATCTTAACAATAACAAGGACAGTAATAGGTATAGTGGAATAACAGAAAGGAGCAGGAAGGGTAAAGAGAAAGGAGGGTCCTTAAATATATATTACACAAATAGTCGTAGTGCTAGTGCAGGTAACATTGATGTATTTACCATAACTGAGACGTGGTTTAATTTGAAAAGTCGGGACATGCCTGTGGAATGTCACATTCAGGGTTTTAAACTGTTCCAAGTAGATAGAAGTATCGGGGAGGGGGCTGGGGTGGCACTGTATGTCCGAGATCACTTGAAATGTTGCATAAAAACGGGTATTAAGTCTGAAGTAACTCATACAGAGTCTGTCTGGATAGAATTTTCAGAGGGGCATGAAAAATTGATTCTAGGAGTGACATGCCATCCCCCAAACTTAGATAGGGACTAAGGGAGACTACTATGGGAGGAAATTGATAAGGCCACAAGGCATGATAATAGTAATTCTAGGGGACTTTAACTTTAGTCAGATTGGAATTTCTTGACTGGGAATTTAAAATCAAACGACTTCTTAGAAGTAGTTCAGGATTGTTTTTTGAAGCAGTTTGTGACAGAACCTACAAGGGGAAATAACCTGCTTGACTTGGTTCTGGCAAACAAGGAAACTCTTGTTAATAATTTAGAAATTAAGAGGAACTAGGCACAAGCGACCACAAATCAATTACCTTTAGCATAGAATGGAAGTATGACACTAGGGATAATTCAGTAATGGTCCAAGATTTTCGCTTAGCCGATTAAACTGGGCTTAGAGAACACGTAAAGCCAACACATAGTTCAACAAGATCGATGAAATCGCTGGCTGGAATAGTAAGATCAAGGGAATCGTCAATTTTCCTGCGTAAGAGATTGATGGCTTGTGTGATAGGAACTATGTGTTGGCTTTACGTGTTTCTCTTTCGAAAATCACTTCTTTCAGCAGGCTTTCGGACTACCCATGGGTTCGCCACTTAGTGCCGTCCTGGCGAACCTATACATGGAACATCTGTAAGCCGAGCGTTTCTCCACTATTATTCCCTCTTCTGTCACCTGGCTCCGTTATGTTGACGACATTCTCGTCATAACTCCCAGACGCTTCAACGTTCACGCTCTCCAACACAAGCTCAACCAGGTTGAGCCCTCCATCCAGTTCACACTAGAAAAAGAAGTCGACAACACTCTTCCTTTCCTCTATGTTCTTCTCTGCAAAGCTGACCATGAACTTCGTTTTAAAGTCTATCGGAAACCTACCAGCCAACACGATCTTCTGGTGTAATTATAGGCTTTTTCCTACATGCACTTAGAATCTTTATTGTAGACGTTTCGCCATCCAGTGGCTTTATCAATACAGATTCTTGGACTACTGCAACTAACCCACCAATTTGGGTAGGACCTACTTCCACTGGGGAATCCCGCCTATCAGTGACTATGCCCTCGTCTGCTACACGTCTATTCACTGACGCCTATATAAGCGCCAGTCTCCTTACCTGTGCTTCAGAATCTCTACAACCACGGTGCTCTAAACACCACCTCCAAGCCTGAGGGACTGATTACCTCATCTTTTGTATATAGTTCTCTGTTTTCTAATTATGTCCAAGAATTTGTATTGATAAAGCCACTGGATGGCAAAACGTCTACAATAAAGATAACCAGATTTTGCACAAGTGTCTTAACTTTCATATCAAGAAGTGTAAGCAACACAAGTCCAGAGGTTATTTTACAGCTTTACACAACATAAGTAAGGCCTCACCTAAATTACGCAGCTAAGTTCTGGTCTCCATATTACAGAATGGACATAAATTCGTTAGAAAACATCCAGCGTAGAATGACTAAATTAATACATAGCATTAGAAGTCTTCCTTACGAAGAACGGTTGAAGACTCTTAAACTACATTCATTTGTAAGACGAAGAATGAGGGAATAGATGATTGAAGTGTATAAGTGGATGATGGGTATTAACAAAGGGGATATAAATAAGGTTTTGAGGATATCCCTCCAAGAGAGAACCCGCAATAATGGATTCAAATTAGACAAGTTTAGATTTCGAAAGGATATAGGAAAGTACTGGTTTGGTAATAGGGTAATTGATGAGTGGAACGGTCTTCCTAGTAGGTTTATCGAAGCTAAAGCCTTGGGTAGTTTCAAATTTAGGTTGGATAAATACATGGGTGAGAGGAGTTGGATTTGAGTCAGACTTGCGCCTTAGCTTATTGCTTGGATAACATTTGTTCTGTGATGAATGGTTTTGAAAACCGACAGGTTGAAGATTGAGACACTTATGCACCACATGGGAATCTTTTTTTAGGAAACGTTTCGCCACACAGTGGCTTCACTAGCGGAAGATTGAAACACTTATGCACCATATGGGAATCTTTTTTAGGAAACGTTTCGCCACACAGTGGCTTCACTAGTGGATGGTACCACTATGACCCCACCTCCTGCTGCTTCGCCTCACCTGACTACAGTATATAAACCACGTCTACGGTCCTATGCTGTACATTCTACAAGATTGATGGACTGAGCACATCGACTCCAGGCTGAGGGACTGATTACCTCAATCTCATCCTCTCCTTTCACCTTTCTGCTTTGTATTGGACTGATGAAGCCACTGTGTGGCGAAACGTTTCCTAAAAAAAGATTCCCATATGGTGCATAAGTGTTTCAGTCTTCAACATTTGTTCTGTTAGTGGGTTGGATTTGTGCAGGACCTGCCTACTATGGACCAGCAGGCCTGTTGCAGTGTTCCTTCTTTCTTATCTTCTTATGTAAAACACCCACATTCCTGTCAGAGTATAAGATGTTAAAGAGACTTTTCATAACTTTCCATAATTTTCATTTTTTTTTACCTGGATTTCCGGGTAGCAGCCGATGAGGTAGAGGACCCAGTTGATGGCAGCGGTTGTGGTGTCGTGACCTTCGAACATAAAAGTGTCCACCTCCTCGCGGATATCCTCGTCAGATAACTTCACACCTTCAGACGAGCTCTCCAGCAACAGGTCCAGCAGGGCCAGGCGCTTCTTCTTCCCTTCACGGGAAAAAAATCAATTAAATCAAGATTAACAAGACTTTTTGATTATTACAATCCTGGAAGAGTAGTAACCAAGGTAACCCAAGAAAGTCAATCAGCGTGGCTAATTTCCGTTTGTGTCCTTAGGTTCTCTTCCCCAGGATACTACCAACAACAGCCAACAGCTAGGTTAACAGGGACGTCTCGCCTCATCGAAAATTCAAATCTGGTTCCTATCGGATATGCTGTTTCACTGCTGACCTACAATACACCACAAATACTCTCTCAACCCTACTAGATAAAATCATTACGACACTTTGCTATTGATTAATTGCTATAGTAATCCATAATTTCTAGCTTACAACCTCCTCACCTGCAATGAATTCATTAAAATCCATATTTAGCAAATTAAAAATCATGGAAAATGAAAATGCTGGTTTACAAAAGTTAAATCATCATTTTTTTTCAATCTTAATATTTACTTTGAGTCAGTACCAACAGGAATTCCCAACTCAATTCCAGCTGACAGTTGACGAAATTTCACGCTTACCAATAACCTCGTCAGCAGCAGCATCCGGCTCCTCACGTTCCCTTTCCTTTATATGACGTTTCATTCTGATAGCACTGTTGGAGAAGTCGTGGAGGGTTTTGAGGCAGGCTTTGTGCTTTTTGGCAGACCCCAGCAGGTTAAAGAGAAACTCTGAGTGCTCCCAGGGGCGGGCCATCCTCTCCAGAAGCAGTGTAGTCATCCTGGGTGATGTGCGAAGTTTAGTATGTGTGAGAGAAAATCTGATATTCATTTCAATACAGAAAGCTCTCTTATAAAGCTATTCTACATAGTCCGATTTTTTATGGCCAATGCAACTGAAAAAATGTATTCAAAATTGAATAGCACGTACTCTGTATGCCCTTTTTACGTACTAGTCAATTCTGAGTGACTTTTCCCAATTGAAATTTTAAAAAATCGCATTATATAAAGGAATTTCATGAAAGTTGACTGTTCAGCATATCATTACGAACCATCTTTAAAAATCTGTTAAAAAGCGATCCTTGGACAGGATTCAGTTACCTGCTTGCCATGATAAACAGACTTTTGCTGATTCACCAAATCGTAACACGATTTGTTTGCAATCGTGTTACTACGACTGGTGAGTCGTGAGGGCGGCTTTGAAGGGACTTGAGCTAGAGCCACCTGGTCGAGTGGTTAACGCACTGGCCTGTGAGTTTTAAGACTCACTTGCCATGGGTTAAAGTCCCACCCATTCTGTGATTAGCCTTTCGTTGAGCCACAGCTAAGAACACATCTTGAAGGTGTTGGACCACATCTTCAAGGCTGGACCACATCTTCAAGGCTGGACCACATCTTCAAGATGTTGGACCACATCTTCAAGGTGCTGGACCACATCTTCAAGATGTTGGACCACATCTTCAAGATGCTGGACCACATCTTCAAGATGTTGGACCACATCTTCAAGTTGCTGGACCACATCTTTAGGACGTTGAACCCCACCCTCAAGAAGCTGAATTTCTTAAGCACGTTGGACCTTACCTGTGCGAAACATGACTTTCTAGTACGAACCCAAGACGTGCACTGACTCTAGTCCTGCTCGAGATGAGGTTAAAAAATAAAACCTCCTACTAAGGACCAACCTTGAATTTACCAGAAGAAACAAGTGAAAACTATGGCAACTAGATCTGCAAATCTCTAAGTGCATAATGTAAATTTAAGTGGCAAACCAGTACTGCAGATCTCCCTTTCCAGGATGAGACGTCATTCCTGTTCTGTAATATATGGATGGAGACCGCTCAGACTTAATGATTCAACGATTTTCCACAACTCTTTCGTGGAGCTGCCTTGGGCAGCTGCTCCACATGCCACATCATGCTCACTCACCTATTGACAGCTCTGACGTATTCAGAATCATTGTTATCTTGAGCGTTGATGCTCTGTCCCATCGCCGTTTCTGTTGGAGAATAGACACGCAGAAGGTTGACTAGTTTGTTAATTTGGAATAAAGGCTATCGACTACACTAGGGTCATTAAGGTTACACGTAACCTGTTCACCATCTACAAGACTACTTGAAAGTCTAAAATAAGGATTAAAGAAAAATCCCGGCATATATACCCTAAGAGAAATACACCTCTCGGTGTATATAGTATATATATCATGGCACTCAAGGGACGGAGTTTTAATGACGTGGTGGAATTCAAGTAGACTCACAGGCCACGCTAAACGCCCTTAGGAAAGAAGAGTTCCAGAAATGTTTCAAGAAGTGACAGAGGCGCTGGGATCAGTACACAGAGTACTTCATGGGAGACAACTTCAACAAAGTGATTAGGTAAGCGGCAATCCAAGATTTTTTATAGGACCTCTTCTTCTTCTTCTTCTTATTATTATTATTATTATTATTATTATTATTATTATTATTATTATTATTATTATTATTATTATTATTATTATGATTATTATTATATTTTGTTGTTGTTGTTGTTGTTGTTGTTGTTGTTGTTGTTGTTGTTGTTGTTGTTGTTGTTGTTGTTGTTGTTGTTGTTGTTATTATTATTCACAGGAAAGCACTAAACCTATAAAAGTGGTAAAAGTCATACAGCATGTGAAGGAATTGAAGAAAATTAAGTTTGAGCCGATGAAGGGGTAGGGGGTATCTCCAGCTTCTTGGAACAAGAGCCCTTCACCAGGATTAAGAGATACACCTCTTCAAGAGGCTGCGTCAAACGTGGGAATCATTTACACGATTCACTTTGCTTTTAAAAATTTTGTCCAATATTATTACCCCTTAAGTTTTTTAAATTTAATTTTTAAAAAGGTCATTTTAATGTGATAATTAAAGAGGGGAACTAAACAGGGAAAAAAGCATCTGTAAACGAAAACTAATTTAAAAGCCATTTTCAATCAGAAAAAAACTTTGGGGGTTTCTTACATAAAGCAGATGAGATTATGTATATAGATGGGGGTTTTTCTTTTTACCCAAATATACACGGGAAAGAGTATTTTTAAACTCTTTTTTGGGATCAAGATTTTTTGACGGGTGGTGAAAAAAAGGTTTTACTGCAGCAAAAAAATTGAATATTTAAAAATCAATATACTATAAAATTTATAGAAAGAGTCACAAGAGACTGCTCATCCCTACCTTTTAGCAGCGGGAAATGACGGGAAAAGGGAAAGAAATGTTAAAACCCAGGGGGGGGATATATATGTTTTGGGTGGTTTTTTTTTTTGCTTAATAAATGTATGAAAGAGGAGAAGGACCTGGGTTTTGGGAAGGAGTTTGTATAGCCTTTATAAAAAGGGGAAGGGGAAAAAAAGAGTTTGTAAAAATTACGGGGGAAATTTAAGTTTATTGGGTATACCAGGTAAAGTGTACGGAGGATTATTATTGAAAAAATTAGGGGAAAGACAGAGAGAAGACTGCGTTTGGAAAGGGGTTTTAGAGTGAGGGGGGATGTGTAATCAAGTGTTTTAAATTTAAAGCATGTATTTGAACAGTATTTAAAAAAGGGGTAGGGAATTTTTCATTGCATTTATGGATTTAAAAAAAGGCATATGATAGATTGGAGAAGGGAGGCAATGGGGCAGAAGTTGCAATGTAGGGAAAAAGGTAGTAAGTTACTAAATTTTTGTAATGATTTTTTTTATGAGGATAGTGAGGCCCAGATTAGGGTTTTGTGGGAGAGGGGGAATTTTATTCCCCGGTTTTAAAATAGGTCTTAGCAGGGAGTGTAATGTCACCATGATTGTTTAAAATTTATTTGATGGGTTGTTTTGAGAAGTAACTGCTAGGGTGTTTGGGGAGAAAGGTTTTTATTAAATTATGGGGAATTTAAATACAAAAAGGGGTTGGGGAAAAAGGGGTTTCTTTTGGGGGGGGGGGGGGGGGGGTGTATGGGGGGGGGCTTTTGGGGGTCTTGGGGGGGTGTTCTGTTAGGGAAAAAAAGGGGGGGGGGGAAAGGAAAAGTTTTGGGGGGGGGGAAAGTGAATTTATTTTAAAAAGGGGGGGGAAAAAAGAAAAAAAGGAAATGAGGGGGTTTAAAAAACAAAGGAAAATTTTAAAAAAAGAAAAATTGGATATCTTTTGGGAAAAGGGGAATATGGAAGAATTTAATGTTTTCCAAAAAATTTGGGGGGTTTAAGGGGAAAAGGGGGTTGGGGGGTTATTTAAAAAATTTTCCTTTTTTCCCCCCAAAAAAACCATGGGGGCAAAAAAAAATGTACGGAAATTTTAAAAAAAAGGGACCTTCCCCTCAAAAATGGGGGAAAATTTTGGGGGGTAAAAACGCAGCGAGAGGCGGCCCGGAGGCAAAAGGAGATTTCCCGTCTAAGGGCAATGTGTGGGGGTAAATATTTTGCGGAGAATTTGTTGTGTGGAAAAAGGAGGAGGTGTTGGCTTTCAAAAAATATTAGTCAGAGGGCTGAAAAGGGTGCTGTTGAGGTGGGTTTTTCCAAATTTTTGAGAGAAAAAAACAAAGTAGAATTATTTGGAGAACATATAAATCTGTAGGGAAAGAAGGCGGGGTAGAGGCCGTCCTCGAAAATGTTGGAGGGAGGGGGTTAAAGAAGTTTTGTGGGCGAGGGGCTTAGACTTCCAGCAAGTGTGTGTGATCATGTTAGATAGGCGGGAGCAGTAGAAATGTGAAGACGATGTAATCAGTCCATCACCCTTGAAGTTGTAGATTTGAGGTTGTCAGTCCCTCAGCCTGGAGAAGTTCTGTTCCAAAAACAGGAACTAACTGAAGATCAAGCAACAGTGTTTAGACTTAAATACTGTTGTAGATCAATGGTTCAGAGAACCGACACGTTGATAAATTAGACACAGGTGCAACTCTTGGGTATCTTTATTGAGGAAACGTTTCGCCACACAGTGGCTTCATCAGTCCATACAAGTTTCTCCTTTGTATGGACTGATGAAGCCACTGTGTGGCGAAACGTTTCCTCAATAACGATACCCAAGAGTTGCACCTGTGTCTAATTTATCAGACTTAAATACTGTCGAAAGGAGAGGTGCAGAGTAGTAGTAGTGAGAATGTAGCCACTGAGAGGTCATGTCCCTCTCAGATCAAACAATTCTCACTTGAAAAAGTTGTCCAAGGTGTTTTCTCTTCTGTACCAAGATGCCATTGCGTTGTAGATGAATGGTTCAGAGAACCGACATGTTGATAAATTAGACACATGTGCAACTCTTGGGTATCTTTATTGAGGAAACGTTTCGCCAAACGTTTCCTCAATAAAGATACCCAAGAGTTGCACATGTGTCTAATTTATGCCATTGCGTTGCAGTGTCTGGAGTGAATATCAAATGGTATAAAATACGGACAGGTTGGTAGATAAGACACATAGGCAACATTTAGGCAACTTTAACGTCGCCTAAATGTTCCCTATGTGTCTTATCTACCAACTGTTCCTATGTACACTATTATTCTTCCCATCAAGATAGAGTTAAACTGTCTGTTTTCTCATCAATGTTTTTGAGAGCTTTACGTATTTGTAGTCCAGAGTTCATAGATGAAAAAAATATCCAAAATTTATGAAATAGCCAATGATCTGAAATACCCGAGAAATGTAATTGATAAATCATTTAAAATTGCTAGAAATACTTTTTACAACCCAAAAAGGGACAGCCAGCTTTATTCAACGAAAAATATGTTGGTTCTCCTTTACCATGAAAACTTGGTTGATATGCCTTCTCTTCTTAAGACTTTTAATATTAAAGTTGTATTTAAAAATCTTGATACAGTAAAAAAAAATTTTGATAAAAAATTCCCCCCAAAATGCTGACGAATGTGTCTATAAGATTCCTTGTAAAATTTGCGATAAAGTTTATTACGGTCAAACTGGTAAAAGTCTCTAACTTAGATTAAAACAACATAAATATAGCAAAGTAAAAAGACACAAGTGCAACTAATGTGACATTTTATTGTGGCAACGTTTCGCTCTCCAGGAGCTTTGTCAAGCCGATACTGTTCGTATCGGCTTGATAAAGCTCCTGGAGAGCGAAACGTTGCCACAATAAAATGTCACATTAGTTGCACTTGTGTCCTTTTACTTTACATATTGTCGGTAATTCTACCAACATTATTACATAAATATAGCATTAGAACTGGACAAGATTCCAATGCTCTATTTATTCATGTGAGACATTTTAATCATCCAATTGATTTTTAAAAAGTTGAGAAAGTTGTATCAAGCAAGTCCATGGTTGACAGAAATATAATTGAATCTTGTTTCATAAAAAGCAGTTTTGAAAATAATATGAATATTTCCTTTGGTTTATATAAATTAGATTCATTTATAATTAATAAAATTTGGGAAGAATTTAATAATACATTGGACAAATAATAAACCTTATTTCTTGGGTAGAATATTTAGTTAGTGGGATGTCGTGAAGACCTGTCTAGTTGGACCAGCGGACCTACTGCAGTGTTCCTCTTTTCTTATGAGTCCGGTATTGTCGCACGTCAGGTGTTTCTTTGTTGTGGGAGTTGACTGTGAGGTGTGGTCTAATCCCTTTAATTGCCTTCCTTTGATGTATTACTTTCATAGTTCCTAGACAATGTGTGTAGTCACGAAAGCGCTTGGAATTTCACTACTCTTTCACAGTGGTTGTTTTGTATATAATATATATATATATTTATATATATTATATATATATATATTATATATATAATATATATACTATATATAATACATATATATTTCGTCACTGTTCAAAACTGTTCTGTATGAATGATTCTCAGAGGAGTGGGACTGCAGTTAATGTAAGGAAAGTATCACTGTAATGATGCTATACAATACTGACAAGCAGATGAGTAAGACACATGTGCAACAGTTTGGTATATTTCATATCCGAAACGTTTCGCCCACACAGTAGGCTTCTTCAATCGATTCGACTGATAAAGCCTACTGTGTAGAGTAGACGAAACGTCGTTTGGGAAATAGAAGTATCTAATATTGCGCAAGCGCGTAAGAAAATTAATTTGTCGTATTTTCTTAATTTGGACAGGGCTCTGAAAGGACATTAAAAATAATGTTATCAATAACAGTAACTGAAGATGACGATGAAACTTGCCAGTTTACTGCAAGGTTCTTTCAGACATACGCACCACAGATGATATCAAGCGTACAGAGCGTAATGTATGGGAAGACATCAAAGGGTTTTCCATCCGCCTGATGTTGCAGTTTGTGAACTAATTTGTTGCTCTGGTTATTGAACACCTCCAAGAAGTCTTCCAAGATCTTGAAGTGGAAGGCCGGAGTCAACAGCTTCCTGCGGGAGTGCCACTTAGTGCCTGCACAAGAAGAAGAAAATGAGAACATGAGATGTACAATACATATGAGTTTAAAATGCATTATAGTGGTCACAGTGGTCACTCCTGGAGCCATATTGGTCAGTCCAGGAGTCATAATGGCCACTCCAGGAGTCATAGTGGTCACTCCAGAAATCAAGATGGTCACTTCATATGTTGCGAAGGTAAATTTGACCAATTTGTACATCCCTTGGAAACGGATTTGACGAAGACAGTCTTAAAACCAGACCTAAATTATTATTTTTATTATGAAAATATTCAGCGTTCTCACATATAACTAATCTGAGACGTTTTAGTATACGGACAAAACTCAGAGCGTCTATGGTTCAGTGTGAAGATCTCTCTGTACTGGCAGTTAAAATCGAGACCATATTTACAATTTACAATTTCATATGTATAATATTAGGAAGCCCCCCCCCCCCCAAAAAAAAAAAAATCAGTATTTCGCTGCTTATTGTTCGTGTGGGGCCTAGTTCCTAGGCCTTTTGTGTATCCATATGCTCTCGCGCTACCGTCCACAGGATGGATATGGGGTGCACAATAAACTAGCCACTTCGGTGGCAAAATCTAAAATCTAAAATTGTTCGTGAAGAAAACACGCTAACCTAAAGGAAGAAAAAGGTGGGCAAATTTAGGCTTTTATATCTAATCTAGATAATTGTCTCATAGAGAAGACAGAGAACTCACTAGAGGATTATTATTATTTTTATTATTATTATTATTATTATTATTATTATTATTATTATTATTATTATTATTATTATTATAAAAGCAAGTGCCAAACACGTTCTGATCACACACAGTTTCACTCACCAGTAGAGGTGAGAAGGCCGGTGCCTAACCAGGGATGAAGGAAGTCATAGTCGGGACTCTTGTCTAGATGTGTGCTGCTGCTGAGTACTGCCTGCCACACGAGGAAGAAGGTAAGTTACCATGTGCTCACATGACTCCCCGTCTCGAGTGACGGGGAATACTGTAGTTGGTATGTGATGTGTTTGTGTCGCACTAGGACAACGAAGGCTAACATTGTGTGGGTGAATGATGTAGAGAGGATACAGTCTAAGTACAGGTACAGTGGAGTTGTTATAACATAATTATGGGTGAATGATGTTAATAGCGTATAGTAGAGAGTGGTTGTAAAGCAGTAGGAAGGTTCATAATTAACTAACAAATCAGAGAGGAAAATTTAGACTATGTTTCGGTCGGTCCTGGACCATTGCCAAGCCACTGGTGACTTGATAATGGTCCAGGACTAATCCGAACTTTGTCTAAAGTTTCCTTTCCGAATTATGGGTTTGATACGAAGTGTTCCAACCAAATTGATGTGACTAATTCCTCATAAGGAAAATGCAAACATAGAGGAAGGCTGTAAAAAAAAAAGTTTTCGTGTGAGATAAAGTTCAAACATGAATAAAAGTGTAAGTAAATCTTCATATGAAGTGTTTATTTACCTCGACTGCATCGGCCTTGACAATATTAATACGGTCTACGTGTCCATATCTAACGCGGTAGATGGGTCCTCTCCTGCTCCAGATGTAACTATTGGCAAGCACGAAGCTAAACAAGACTGGAAAAGAAAGTATTTTATAAGGTATCAGCATCAGTGCTGATCCATCACTCAGCATGGAAATATTTACCGATGCCAACATTTATTCGATAGAATAAATATATATATTTAAAGATGCCAACATTTATTCGAGTGACAGAATTCGACATTCTTCATTCATTCTTCGTGGGTAACTGTACATAGATGACTAGAGTAAAATAAATGGTGTGACTTTCCGTTATATTATTTAATTGACCAGACAGACTGGCAGGAATAAAACACTGGTAGTAGCAGTCTACCTTACCTTTGGAGTCAGTCAGGATCTGCAGGGCATTTTCGATGATGGGAAACGGCGGAGGTCCCGGCACCTGGTCCATCAGGTTCTCCTGGAGAGCATGGGAGGAGGATCACCCACCTGTTTCTAGGTCACCCACCTGCTCCTAGCTCACCCACCTGATTCTAGTTACCCACCTGCTCCTAGGTCACCCACCTGTTTCTAGGTCACCCACCTGTTTCTAAGTCACCTACCTATTTCTAGGCCACCCATCTATTTCTAGGTCGCCCACTTGCTCCTGGGTCACCCACCTGATTCCAGTTTCCCACCTGCTCCTAGATCACCCACCTGTTTCTAGGTCACCCACCTATTGCTAGGTCACCCACCTGCTCCTATGTCACTCACCTGTTTCTAGGTCACCCACCTGCTCCTATGTCACCAACCTGCTCCTAGGTCACCCACTTGTTTCTAGGTCGCCCACCTGTTTCTAGGTCACCAACCTGCTCCTGGGTCACCGACCTTTTCCTGGGTCACACCTGTTTCTAGATCACCCACCTGCTCGTAGGTTACCCACCCACTTCTGGGTCACCCACCTGCTTTTCCTGGGTCACACCTGTTTCTAGGTCACCCACCTGCTCCTAGGTCACGCACCCGCTCCTGGGTTACCCACCTGCTTTTCCTGGGTCACACGTGTTTCTAGGTCACCCACCTGCTCCTATGTCATCAACCTGCGCCTAGGTCACCCACTTGTTTCTAGGTCGCCCACCTGTTTCTAGGTCACCAACCTGCTCCTGGGTCACCGACCTTTTCCTGGGTCACACCTGTTTCTAGATCACCCACCTGCTCGTAGGTTACCCACCCACTTCTGGGTCACCCACCTGCTTTTCCTGGGTCACACCTGTTTCTAGGTCACCCACCTGCTCCTAGGTCACGCACCCGCTCCTGGGTTACCCACCTGCTTTTCCTGGGTCACACCTGTTTCTAGGTCACCCACCTGCTTTTCCTGGGTCACCCACCTGTTTCTAGGTCACCCACCTGCTCCTAGGTCACCATCTGCTTTTTCCTGGGTCACCCATCTGTTTCTACGTCATCTACCAGCTCCTAGGTCACCCACCTGCTCCTGGGTCACCCACCTGTCTCTAAGTCACCCACCTGCTCCTAGGTCACCTATCTGCTCCTAGGTCACCGGTCACTACCTTCAACCCTCACTACGGGAGTCCACCTAACACCACCTTGCACCACCCCTACCACGTTAACTGGTCTAATAAATCACAGAACGTGTGGGACTCAAACCCATGGCAGGCGGGGCCGCACACTTACACGCTACCATCAGTTTTGTGATTTGTTTGCAATCGTGGTATTACGATTTCATGAGTTAGTTTGATAATTTTATTATGAACGCTATACCCATCCTGTGGGCTTCAGTGTAAAGATTGCAAGGCCACATAATGGGTCTAGGGACTGGGTCCCATCCACTAATGAAAGTTTCCTTCAACCATCCCTCTTTTCCCTTACAAGTCACCTGCAACAGCATTGCATCCAGATCCACTACTGAAGAGTCAGCAAGAGAGAGGATGGGACTGTACTTCAGACGGTCAAACAGGTTGGACCAAGAGTTGGAAATCACTCCACTTCTCTAGCAAACTCAATAAATGATTACAAAGTAAACAGCATGTACCTTGGGCTTTCTCCTGAATAGCCGGGTGAGCATGAAAATGACAAAGGAGATGATGATTATGCATGGCATCACCTCCATTGCACCGTCCAGCCAGATCATGTTGCAGCTCTCACAAGGATACCTCTGAGCTCACGGCACTCACGGCTGTCACTCACGCAGCTTGGGACCCGTCGTCACGCTGAGCTGGAGCAGCTAGTCTTTAAACAGATACAGATAGTTAGTGTTTTCTAACGCGATTACAACAGTTACCCAATGTTGAGTCTGGTTTACAAGTCCCCTTCATTGATTTGTAAGTCCCCTTGGTTGGTTTGTAAGTCTCCTTTGCTGATTTTATAAGTCCCCTTGAATGGTTTAAAAGTTTATTTAGCTGGTTTATAAGTTCCCTTGACTGACTCACAAGCCCACTTGGCTATTTTATAAGTGCCCTTTACTGTTTAACAAGTCCGCCTAACTGGTTTACAAATCCCCATAATCGATTTAAAAGTCTCCTTGGCTGGTTTATAAGTCCCCTTGGCTGATTTATAAGTCCCACCGGCTGATTTACTGGTACCAATGACCGACTTACAAGTCCCCTTGAGTGTTTTCCAAGTTCCCTTGAGTGTTTTACAAGTCCACTTGGCCGGTTTTCAAGCTACCAGTGCTAACTGACCATCATGAATGTAGCATTTTTCATGATCAAAATAATAATAATAATAATAATAATAATAATAATAATAATAATAATAATAATAATAATAATAATAATAATAATAATAATAATACATTGTATTTATTGCGATGAGTGTATTTCCTTCCATCCATATACACTGTGGAGAAAATTTCTCGAGAAAGGGGGGTATCAGCCCCCTTCAGCCCCTTTCACCCTGAGGGATATCCCTCTCAGAAAGGGCAAATGATGTCTTGCTTGTAGATCAACAATTTAATTTCAAGCAGATGCAGTAGCAGCGTGTACCAGAATGCAGTCACATAGCGTCCTCTTTGCACCACAGTTTTCAATGCCACTGAGTGATAATGAAGTGAGGAAAAGGGCTCTTTTCACCGTGGTGAAAACACTTGAACTGCTATGAAAGACAATAATGAACTCTCGTGGATCGATAGATATCAAGAAAATCTATTACTTGTATTGAACCCTGTGTCGATGTTTAGCAAGAAGGGAAAGAGCGCTGAATTCAGCAAATCCTTAGTAAGAAGGGAAGCACAGGGCGAAACCGGCTGCAAAGGGTCAGATTGCTTGAAGGTGCGGACCGGGGAACTCACGTTCAAAGAAAAAAGAACACTAGTGATTTGCGCGTTTCTGTTCCTCAGTGACAATCTCAAAAGTTCGTGATAGAACGATTACAGTGAAGCGTACTTGTCTTCATGTTGTGACACTACTACGAAACGACAAATATTGTAGAACAGTGTAGTGTAACAGGGTGTATTGCAGACATTCTTCAGAGACAGACAGGGCCACTGTAAGACACTACTACTTCAATCAAGACATCGGATACCGGAGTGACACTTGGGGATCAGAAACAAAAACCCAGGCAAGTCTAGACAGGTATGCACTTAGGTCGGCTGCGCAGCACATAGGGTATGTCAGGTCTAGATTTATCAACACACCCCGTCATCGGAGGGCCATTGAGCCTAAAAAAGGTAAGTTTATCGTTATTCAGCATTGCTGAATGAAATGCTGATGTGTACGCTCCTTTGGGGCAATTATGTACTCATACATACTTGTCCCTCATTAGCTGTAGGCTGTAGAGCAGCTGTTTCACGTTGGAGGAGCCTTCTGAGTGCAGCTGCAGAACAGCTGAGACAGCAACAAAGCTAAATATCTTTCATTCCTGTATACTGATATATAGCATAATATAATATTCTGAAATTCCCAACATCCACTGCTGGCAGCAGTGCACATATACACCGAGATATATATGTCTAATTATATATACACACTCAGAGTACTTCAGTCTCTATGGTAATCTGACTACTGCTGACTGTAATCTGACTACTGCTGACTGTAATCTGACTACTGCTGACTGTAATCTGACTACTGCTGACTGTATGGTAAAGGAATAATAAATGTTGCTTTTAGTTTTTGTGGAAGTTGAAGCTGTGAGTAGAGTTGATGTGGCGGGACAGAAGTGATGGTTGAAGTGGTGACGGTATTAGCCGATATGTGACGATGGTGAAGGTGATCAGTGTTGGGAATGTGATAGTAACAGCTGCAGTATGAATGTAGTTGTAATAATACTTGAAATAATGGTAGTTGTGAGTGTAGTGGTGGTGATAGTTGTGATTTTAGTGGTGGTGGTAGTTGTGAGTGTAGTGGTGGTGGCAGTTGTGAGTGTAGTGGTGGTGGTGGTAGTTGTGAGTGTAGTGGTGGTGGAGTTGTGAGTGTAGTGGTGGTGGTTGTTGTTGAGTTGGTAGTGGTGGTTTATAGTTGTGAGTGTAGTGGTGGTGGTAGTTGTGAGTGTAGTGGTGGTGGCAGTTGTGAGTGTAGTGGTGGTGGTGGTAGTTGTGAGTGTAGTGGTGGTGGTAGTTGTGAGTGTAGTGGGGGTGGTTTTTGTGAGTGTAGTGGTGGTGATAGTTGTGAGTGTAGTGGTGGTGGTAGTTTTTGAGTGTAGTGGTGGTGGCAGTTGTGAGTGTAGTGGTGGTGGTGGTTAGTTGTGAGTGTAGTGGTGGTGGTAGTTGTGAGTGTAGGGGGGTGGTGGTTGTTGTGAGTGTAAATGGTGGTGATAGTTGTGAGTGAGTGGTGGTGGTAGTTGTGAGTGTAGTGGGGGTGGCAGTTGTGAGTGTAGTGGTGGTGGTGGTAGTTGTGAGTGTAGTGGTGGTGGTAGTTGTGAGTGTAGTGGTGGTGGTTTTTTGTGAAATGTAGTGGTGGTGATAGTTGTGAGTGTAGTGGTGGTGGTAGTTGTGAGTGAGTGGTGGTGGCAGTTGTGAGTGTAGTGGTGGTTTGGGGGTAGTTGTGAGTGTAGTGGTGGTGGTAGTTGTGAGTGGGAGTGGTGGTGGTTGTTGTGAGTGTAGTGGTGGTGGTAGTTGTGAGTGTAGTGGTGGTGGGATAGTTGTGAGTGTAGTGGTGGTGGTTGTTGTGAGTGTAGTGGTGGTGGTTGTTGTGAGTGTAGTGGTGGTGGTAGTTGTGAGTGTAGTGGTGGTGGCAGTTTGTGAGTGTAGTTTGGGGGTGGTGGTAGTTGTGAGTTTTAGTGGTGGTGGTAGTTGTGAGTGTGTGGTGGTGGTTGTTGGAGTGTAGTGGTGGGGGTATACCGGTGGTGGTAGTTTTTGAGTGTAGTGGTGGTGGTATACCGGTGGTGGTAGTTGTGAGTGTAGTGGTGGTGGTAGTTGTGAGTGTAGTGGTGGTGGCAGTTGTGAGTGTAATGGTTTGGTGGGGTAGTTGTGAGTGTAGTGGTGGTGATAGTTGTGAGTGAGTGGTGGTGGTAGTTGTGAGGGGAGTGTTGGTGGCAGTTGTGAGTGTGTGGGGGTGGTGGTATTGTGAGTGTAGTGGTGGTGGTAGTTGTGAGTGTAGTGGTGGTGGTTGTTGTGAGTGTAGTGGTGGTGATAGTTGTGAGTGTAGTGGTGGTGGTGTTGTGAGTGTAGTGGTGGTGGCAGTTGTGAGTGTAGTGGTGGTGGTGGTAGTTGTAGTGTAGTGGTGGTGGTAGTTGTGAGTGTAGTGGTGGTGGTTGTTGTGAGTGTAGTGGTGGTGGTAGTTGTGAGTGTAGTGGTGGTGGTGGTAGTTGTGAGTGTAGTGGTGGTGGTTGTTGTGAGTGTAGTGGTGGTGGTTGTTGGGTGAGTGTAGTGGTGGTGGTAGTTGTGAGTGTAGTGGTGGTGGCAAATTGTGAGTGTAGTGGTGGTGGTGGTAGTTGTGAGTGTAGTGGTGGTGGTAAATTGTGAGTGTAGTGGTGGGTGGTTGTTGTGAGTGTAGTGGTGGTGGTATACCGGGGGTGGTAGTTGTGAGTGTAGTGGTGGTGGTACCGGTGTGGTAGTTGTGAGTGTAGTGGGGTGGTAGTTGTGAGTGTAGTGGTGGTGGCAGTTGTGAGTGTAGTGGTGGTGGTGGTAGTTTTGAGTGTAGTGGTGGTGTAGTTGTGAGTGTAGTGGTGGTGGTAGTTGTGAGTGTAGTGGGGGGGCAGTTGTGAGTGGTAGTGGTGGTGGTGGTAGTTGTGAGGGGTAAGTGGTGGTGGTAGTTGTGAGTGTAGTGGTGGTGGTTGTTGTGAGTGTAGTGGTGGTGGTATACCGGTGGTGGTAGTTGTGAGTGTAGTGGTGGTGGTTATACCGGTGTGGTAGTTGTGGTGTAGTGGTGGTGGTAGTTGTGAGTTTTAGTGGTGGTGGCAGTTTGTGAGTGTAGTGGTGGTGGGGTAGTTGTGAGTGTAGTGGTTTGGGGTTGTTGTGAGTGTAGTGGTGGTGGTATAACCCGGGGGTGGTAGTTGGTGAGTGTAGTGGTGGTGGTATACCGGTGGTGGTAGTTGTGAGTGTAGTGGTGGTGGTAGTTGTGAGTGTAGTGGTGGTGGTAGTTGTGAGTGTAGTGGTGGTGGTTATTTGGAGTGTAGTTGTGAGTGTAGTGGTGGTGGTACTTGTGAGTGTAGTGGGGTGGTAGTTGTGAGTGTAGTGAAGGTGGTAGCTGTGAGTGGTGGTGGTATTACTGGTGGTGATAGTGTGAGTGTAGTGGTGGTGGTAGTTGTGAGTGTAGTGGTGGTGGTAGTTTTGAGTGTAGTGGAGGTGGTAGTTGTGAGTGTAGTGGTGGTGGTATACTGGTGGTGGTAGTTGTGAGTAGTGGGGCTTGGTATACCGGTGGTGGTATACCAGTGGTGGTGTCATGTGGGGTTTTCGATACGTGGATGGGTAAAGAATACTCACGTAGGCTGGTAGTACGTATAATATAATGGAAAATATGGTAAGGCACCAACAGCCGACCTGCCCTCTCTGCTCCCTATCTTGACTGACTCACAGTGCCTATGGGTGAGGGGTGTGTTTGAAATCCTGCTATGGTCAGCAGCAATATGAATACATCAGTGATTCACGCAGAGACGGTTGGTAGTGAGTTACTACTAGTACACTGGTTACTGGGAACTGGTTACTAGGAACTGGGACCACTACTGAGAGCTCGGCGACGCTAACGTATGTCGTCCCGACATAACAACTAATACAAACTAGAGATGGCAGGTGTACAGCTTGGCTGATTCTAAAACAATGTCAAAGTACACAACAATTGAACATTATAACATACATAAGTAGAACATTGGAATGGAAGCTTACGTTTAAATGAAACTGTAATGCAATACAAGGTATAATATAGCAAACCCCATCGAATAGACTCAACATTGGGATTACACAATAGAAGTGATAAAAAAAAATTTGACAATCAATCTGTATTCATGTGATCTAACGGATTCTGAGGAAGGAATTATACAAAGAAAGAAGGTTTAACAGAAAGGCAGAAATTCGGTGCACTCAAATCTAGACTGTTAATTCTCAGAATTCGGAAGGGGAAAAAGTGAACACACAAAAAAAAATCTTTAACATGATAAGTTGATACTGTAATTATTCATCTTTTACAGGTTATTTACATTTAACCCCAACTCTGCTAGGGTGAGATTGCATATGCAGAATGGGTGTCATCTCTGGGAGGATCAAACTCTGTTGCACTGACTAACTCATGCTGT